GCCCTGGCTGAGAAATCAGATTCACTCGTTCGTTTATCCACTGTGTTAGACATTGAGCAAATGCTTGCGGGTCATTTACAGGACATCTGCAGGGTCTGGAAATAGGAGTTGGGTTGGGGCCAAGCAGGCTCCTGGAATACCAGCCTTACAAAGGTCCCTGGTGGTGTAGTGGTAGTGGGTTACACGTTGGGCTGCTAACTTCAAGGTCAGAAGTTCGAATCGACCTGCAGCTGCGTGGGGGAAAGCTGTAACCTAAACAAGGGACAGTTCTACCCTGCCTTATAGGGTGGCTGTGAGTCCTATCATTGGATGGCAGCGAGTTTAGTTTTTGGAGTCTGGGAGTGTAACATTTGTTTCACAGATGAGGCTGGAAGTCACTTGTCATCTCAGTTGCAAAGGGGGTTTAGGGCTCAAGGTGTTAGCTTCCTAGAGCTCCAGGTGCCAGCGTCCCGGGCCAGGGCCCTTTCCATGGCACCAGACTGTGTCAGGAGAGAAAGAAGATGTTCAGATCCCTGCTGTTTATAGCAAGGAGCTGTGGGAGGGGCCCAGAGAGCTGACTTGCTCTCATGCGTCCTTCTTGATCCAAGAAAAAGAAACACACACACACACAGTCATAAAGTCAATTCCAACTCACAGCGACCCTATATAGGGTTTCAGAGGCTTTGAAACTTCATGGGAGCAGACACCTTCATCTTTCTCCCACTGAGAAGCTATTGGGTTTGAAGCACCGACTGAGCTGTTAGCAGTCGAGTGCCTTGCCTATAAATAAGCACCACCTGTTCATTTTTGACAGCTGACAGCAGTAACCATTCCTCACAGTGATGGTCAACCACTTTCACACCTATTTTCTTTAATGTCACAGCTCCACTCGCAGATGTAGAAGGTGGGCTGTCAGTCCCATTAAATGTTGTGACCAGGTTCATACTCCCAGAATGCAGTCTGACTCCTTGAGGGGCAGTCTTTTGAGTAAAGATCCTCCCCACTCACACAATGGAAGAGATACGGTTCCTCTTTCCAAAACAACCAAGAAGTGCGGAGAAAGGGATCAGTTTTGGCTTTATATGCTGATGATCCTAAACTCATGTTAATTTTTTTGTATGAAGATCAAATGGTGTTTTCAAATATATATGTGCATTTCCTTAGGACCATCCAAGACTGAGTCCTTTAAAAATAAAAATTATACCAAAGTGTGTGCAGTAATGCATTCTGTGTTCTAGTACATTTGCTAAGTGGTTGCTGGATGCCCCGAGTGCTTCTCGGTGAGGAGAATGCACAGTGACTCAAACAGTGCAGCCCTTCCTCTCAGGGTTTCAGTCACGGGGAATAGTGTAGAGAGTAAACAAGTAAGCCAATAGAACTTCGGGTTGGGACTCGTACTACGAAGAGCACAGACCCTGGGAGGGACAGTCAGAAATGTCCGGTGCCATCATGTCTATCCGACCCACAGCGACCCTGTGTGCATCACCCCGTGCCATCCTCCTAACCACTCCTATGCTGGACTCCCTTGTTGCAGCTGGACGTCTGCCCTGTTGGCTTAAGTCCTTGGTTCTTTCCCCATTCTCAAAAGCGCTGTCTGGGAGCGGCCTCTCTTCAGAGGGCTAGCAGTATCCTTTGGAAGCACCGGACGGACGCCGGGAAGCGGCCAGGAGCTGTTCCCACCCCATTTCTAGTCAGTTCTACACACAGGTGTTGATACGACCCCCCTTCTCCACACACTTGCAACACTTTGCTGCTTCCAGGTTCTGTTTTCTGCCCGTTGATTTCCCGTCTTTTCACAGGGTCGTGGCTAGAAGTCCCCTCCTCTGTGAAGTTCCTTGCTGACTGCCCTCCAGCCCCTCTTGACACGATGGCTTCTTGAGCAGCACTTTTGTGGCTTTGCCTCCACCTTCCTAGCAGAGAGGGGGCTTTGCACTCACACCCAGGAAGCCCTCTTGGCCTTGAGACCAAGACTGGCCCTCTTCAACCTGGAGCCTGTGTGACTTACATATTGGACTCCATCTGAAATGAGGTTTTTGAAAAGTGCCAGTGGCAAAAAACAAAACAGCTGACCTTTTCCTGGGCTCTATTTCGCTGCTCCCCTGACCCTTCCCCTTGCAGATGCTGTCTCTTCCAGTTCCTTAGGGAGCCTGGTGTGAGCAGAGCCCTTTCAATGGCCTCCTCCTCCTTTTAAATTGTTTTTCATCTGCTGGAGATATAACTTTTTTTTTTTTCTTTTTGTATTTTTATTTATTTATTTATTTTTAGCATTTTATTAGGGGCTCATACAACTGTTATCCCAATCCATACACACATCAATTGTGTAAAGCGCATTTGTACATCATTCTCAAAACATTTTCTCTCCATTTAAACCCCCGACATTAGGTCCTCATTTTTCCCCTCCCTCCCCGCTCCCCCCTCCCGCCTGAGCCCTTGTGGAGATATAACTTACAGAGCTCATGCACCCTGTGACAGCCACCCCACAGGGCATCCTATACCCACCCACAGAGATCCCACTGCCGCTGCCTTCTAGCACCATAGCTTCCTTTTGCCTTACCTGAGCTTCAGGTAGGCAGCACCCTCCTTTGGGCCCATGAGAGGCCCCGTGGCCGTGGGCGGCAGCTGGGTGCACCTCTGGCACAATGTATTTATCAGTATTCCTGTTGTCGACATCGGGCTGTTTCTAGGTTGGTTTTTTAATGGCCTTTAGTGTGATAATTTACACACAAACATGTTAAGCTCATCAGGTTTCCACACATACTGTCGGTTGCCATTTCTAAGGGGTGCCCCCAGCAGTCTTGCTTATGGCTTGGGTGGTCACTCCAGGGCTTGGCTGCGCAGAAGTGGGGTTACAGAGATGCAAAGGATGTTGCTGGGCCGTGTTTCCAACGCGGCAGAAACAGTGGTGTCTCCCACCAACGGTGAATGAAGGGTGGTCTAGTTGCTCATCAACTTCCCCAGCACTTAGTGTTATCAGACCTTCTCACCCCTTCTGGTGGCAGGCAGTGGTATCTTACTGTGCTTCCCCCGCTCCCCAGGACCACTAATCACATTTTGTTCCTGTGGCACGTCCCCACACTCGGCCTGGCTGAAGGGTGCCTTCAGCTCTGCCTCGTCTTGTCTTTTTCTCTCTCAGGTGGTTTTTTCCCATCATTGGCCACATGGGCATCTGCACGTCCACGGGAGTCATTCGGGACTTTGCAGGCCCCTACTTTGTCTCGGTGAGTCCCCACTAGACACCGCCGACTGGAGGGCCCCCCGGCTGACATGGAAGGGTGGCCTGCAGGCAGGCTTCCTGTCTCCTCGCATCCAGGAGAAACCAGACCCCTCCGCCCCTTGGCCCTCCCCAGTGTGTGACCCTTTCCCCCTTCTCTTGCCTCCAGGACAGGCCGGGAGGGCAGTGTGGCCAGAAGGATTCTTAAGTAACTGAGCCAGCCCTTTGCTCCCACCCTGGGATACTGACACATGGGTAGGGGTTAGAGGCAAGAGTGGAAAGTCAGAGCATCCAGGAACTACACCCCTGGACTTCAGAAGGTGGGAGTCACAAGGTAGGGGGAAGGGAAGGCTGACTGGTTCCCTGGGCATGGCCTCGGAGGAAAAGGGGTGGGGCTTCTAGAATGCACCCACTTGCGTACTGAGGAATGTGGCCACGTGGGGGTCAGTGGGCTAGCTCCAAGTGTGCCTGCTTATTTCCAGGTTGCCATTTGATCTTCACCAGTCTGACCCGGGGTGCACTTGGCACTGGAGCTGCGTATGTAGTAGGCATTGCCGTTTTCTTGGTGTGAGACTACCTGTGATTTTGCCAGTCAGAGTGCTCTCCTTCCAGTGTCCCCTTGCCCTGCGACTGTGTGACATCAGGGTGACATTGCCTGCAAGGCACTGCAGGTTCTTTCTAGACTCTGTGTCCATGTAGCTCTTGCCACTCCAGACCGTCCTGTGGTTAAGCGCAGGGCTTGGCTGAGATGCCTTTCTCGTAGGAGGCCTCTCTAGGCCTAGCACCCCCAGGCCAGTTCTGAAGGCAGTCACATGGCCCCTGCACACCCATAGGCAGAGGCTACCATTGTTGGAGTGAGAGGTCAAAGAGGTCAGAGTCATTTATACCACAGAAGAAGCCACCTCTTCGTGACCAGAGATCAGAGAAGCTTGGCTGCAGAACTTGGAGAGTGGAAGGCTCAGGATATTAACCTGAGTGCCATGCAGAGCCCAGGTGGTTGGCCCCCTCTGTGAGACCTCAGGAGACCTACCTTGGCCACTTCAGATCCAGTGTCAACCCCAGACCAGCCATGGCCCAGTTCTGAGTCACTGCACTATAGCCACTGGCTCAGGGCTGCCTCCTGGGCTGGATAGAGACTCTCCACTGACCTCTGTTCTTGTCCCTCACAGGAAGACAACATGGCCTTTGGGAAGCCTGCCAAGTAAGTGATGAGCACCGGATGACAGGCCCGAGGGCCAGGTACCTTCTGCCTGGAGCAGCAGGCCAGACCCCTGAGTCCCAGCAGGAGCCAGCTCTGAGGATAGGTGTAGAGTGGAGAACAGTAGCAGTCCTGTACTGCGTACCCCCTGTGTGCTGGGCACTGGGCCGGCTTCTCCACCGACAGGCCGTCTGGACCTAGCTTAGCTCTGCAAGGTTGAGTTTTAGCTCCACTGGACAATGGAAGAGACGGGACTTGGCCTCTGGGTCCCACAGCAGGTCTGCCTTGTTCCAAAGCAACCCTTTCTCCCAGTCTCACGAGGCTAACCCACCCTGCAGGGTGTATGGGGTGTATGTTTGGAACGCTTGGCTGGACCGTTCTGGTTGGTGAAGACAAAGGCAGCATGGTCCCTGGGAGCCATTGACCGGTTTGGTTTGACATTTTGGTCTTATTTTCTGCTGGGAACCCACCGCGGCTTCAAGCTGGTGGCCATGCTCCAGGTGTCAGTGTGCTCAGATCCACATCGGTACTATTTGTGGCTGCACGCAGGGGAGGCTGGGGGAAGAGCAACATCTCAGCACCCAAGAAGAGGCCACCTTGAACGGGCGCCCAGATTCCTGCACTCACTCACTCTGGCAGGTGGATGTGGGAGCCAGGGGCCTCTGAGCCAGGCCTTTGCTGGCAGGCTGCTTTTGAGAGCCACCGTAGTGTAAAGCCACTCACTTCTAGCCAGGAGCTCATGCAGCCCCAGTCCGGGACACTGCCCTGCCTCACTCACTGGTCAGTTATCCGGCCACTGCCCTGTCTCACTGGTCAGTTACTTGTAGGCTCCTCTGCCAAGCCATTCCCCACACAGCAGCCAGAGGGCACTCTGGCCCCAACTCCCGACCCAGAGCCCCTTTGGCTGCTCTCTTGCAGCCTCTCTGGGGGCTGCTCCCCAGCAGACTGTGGGGAGGACCCAGGCCGGCAGGTAATCGCTTCAGTGGGACATTCCAGTCCCCTGTGATGTGGCCACCACCCACGTCTCCAGCCTCACTGCCTACATTCTAAAGCCCCTAACAGCCTGTCATCGCTACTTGCAGGTACACTCCTTTGTTTCATGCCCTCGCTCAGGTGCTCCCAATGCCTGGAATCCCTCCCCGAGCTGAGTGAGCTCACCCACATTGTTCCCAGGGTCGGCTACCAGACTTGCCTGGCTCGGAAGTCTGAGCATGGAGCTCAGGGTGGGCACAGAGCTGGCAACAGCAACATCTGTGGAGCCGAGTGGCCAGAGCCCAGCCCCTCCCTCCCCTCAGGTACTGGAAGCTGGACCCTGCGCGGGTGTACGCCAGTGGACCCAATGCCTGGGACACCGCCGTGCATGACGCCTCCGAGGAGTACAAGCACCGCATGGTAGGTGGGCCGGGCAGCAGGCGGCTTCCCCCACCCCACCCCAGGCTCCTCTGCAGCCTGCCTGAGCCCCTGCTCCCCGCACCTCCAGCACAACCTCTGCTGTGACAACTGCCACTCCCACGTGGCTTTGGCCCTGAACCTGATGCGCTACAACAACACCAGCTGGAACATGGTGACGCTCTGCTTCTTCTGCCTGCTCTACGGGAAGTACGTCAGGTGAGCCGCCCACCCGCACACTGCTGCTTCCATGGGGGCCCTTCCAGCATCCCGGCAAGGACATGTCCTCAGTCAGCAGGGAGGAAGCAGGTGGCCAGGCAGAACCAGGAAGGTTCCAAAATAATAAGCTGGGGTCCTGGACGAGGGGGTGGGGGAGCTCTGCTGATGGCAAGAAGCTCTGTCCCTTGTTGACTGTGAGCGCGTGGGTAACTGGCATGGCCACTGTGAGCTGCAGCTGTCCCCTGTCACACGGGTACTGATCCCTGCCCTTCAGGGAGCCCGGGAATAGAGAGCCGTAGGCTCAAGTGAAGTAAACAGCTGGAGCCTCAAGGGTGAGGCCTCGGACCACTAGGGCTCCTTTCCAAGCCTGCTTTGTCAGGAAGGTGGACCCCAAGGTGGTCGGGGGGGAGCTCTGCAAGCCACCGCCCTGTGAAGTCAAAGGCAGTAGTCTCAATTTGCAGGTAAAGACTAGAGAGCCTCTGAGTGGCTAATCCCTGTGGCACAGCGGAGCCCAGACTGGGGAGCCGCTCGGCTCAGCGCCAGCTGGCTCACACACCCTCCATGGTTTCCTCTAGCTTCCCATCCTTGAGAGCTCTCTGCAAAGGTGCGCTTGGAGCCCTGCTCAGTGCTTAGAGGCCCTGGAGGACCATCCAGGGGAGCTCGTCTCCCGAGGGGTGCCGCACCCAGCCCAGTCTCAGAGTGAGGGAGTGGTCCCAGGGGCTTCCTCAGGGTCTGCAGCGCCGCTGTGAGCAGCTGGACAGCACACCCACTCTGCCTGTGCACACACACCCCCTCCCCTGCTGCAGTGCCGGTGCCTTTGTGAAGACCTGGCTGCCCTTCGGCCTCCTCCTGGGCATCATCCTCACCGTCAGCCTAGTCCTCCACCTGCGGTGATGGCGCCCCTGAAGCCGAAGCCCCAGCCCTGTGCTTCGGGACCCTTCCTCCTCGCCTGTGAAAGCCAGATGGGCCTGTTGGTTTGGGCCCGGGGCTCTGGGCTAGGTGGGGTGGGCGGGGGCTGGGAAGAGCATGGAGTGGGGATGTTTGCTTGTTGAGTCTCCCCTTCCTCCGGGGCCTCTGACCCCTGCCCTTGAGGTAGCCCCATTGTTCCTCTGTTGGGAGGGCTTTAGCTTCCTGTTGGTGGAGCTGTTGCCCGGCTGGGCTCCTCCTGCCTCAGCCCTTCTGGCACGTCAGGTGTCTGTCTTGGGTCTAGTGCCATGGGATGAGGGAGGGTCATTGGACCCACCAGACGAATGAGGCAGTGGTGGCAGGCCCAGGAGATGGGCAGCCTGAGCAGCCTCCAAGAGTTAA